TTTTAGGGTAATAAAGGGCTGATGCTTGCCACCATTTTCAGCATCAGCCATTTGAGTCTGTTGTCACTTATAAAATTCAAGATTGTCATAAAAATATAAGCAGAAAAACACTGCTGACTTTCACAGACAAAACCTACCAATTACAGAGCTCAGTCCTGCAACATCTTGCATGTTTTGTCCCTGTCTAGCAAAGCACTGAAACATACAGAGAGCTACATGAGAACAGCCCCACCCAACCGGTGGAACCCTACAGAATTTTTGATACATGTGCAGGAGCTACACTTCAGAGCATCCAGGCCCAAAAGTCTCCCTCTTTTGTTCAATTGTAAACCAACAATCTTCTTCCATTTTAGGCCTCTGTTTAACATTAGGGAAATATAATAATCAGAATGATGAAAGTTTCTACTTATGATATCGAAGAGATTTAGTTCTCCCCCTACCATCTCTCAATAGCAGATAGTTAAATATGGGATGATCTTTACTGCAAGTAATTTCAAATCCTCCTATGCCAGAATGTAATTATTTTTAAAAAGTTACATTAATCCTGAAGAAGAAGAGATAAGCTCATGGGGTTTTTCTGAAAACCTTAGGTGAGAAAGAACCATTTGCTAAACTACGTAGTGTACTGAAAAGTCAGAGAGGAATGGCTTCAAACTGAAAGTGGGTAAGTTTACATTAGGTATTATGAAGACATTCTTCCCAGTGAGGGTGTGGAGGCCCTGGCACAGAGAATCTGTGGCTGCCCCATCTCTGGAAGTCTCCAAGGCCAGGTTGGACAGGGCTCGGAACAATCTGGGATAGAGGAAGGTGTCCCTGCCCATGGCAGGGGGGGCAACAAGATGGTCTTTGAGGTCCCTTGAAACCCAAACTATTATGTGATTCTGCAAAAACAAAGCATGTGTCTTTAATAAGAGTTTTTCTATTTTATATTTTTCCATTTTCTATTTTTCTTCACTATAGCAAGAAGATGAAGTTGAGGAGCTGTGTGGTCACAGTTTGATCTGTGGATGTTGGCACCTTCTGCTAAGTAGATTTGTTACACACCTTGCCCCCATGAAAAAAAGAGAATTTAAAACTGAATTCCAAACAAATCAAATCTCGTTCATATTTTCAGGTAGAACAGTCTTCAAATTAGGATGCCAGTCTCATCTCATACAAAACAATTTGGCTTAGGTATATATATATATAAAAATCTAAGTTAATGTGAACACATTAAATAGTATACAGATGTTTTACTTGCTACTTTTATTAAGATCAGTTTTAACAACAGAAGCCATTTTCTTTTCCCTTTTCTCCCAGAAGACTTCCTTTCTAGAGATCTCTTCATTGAAAAAAAATGGCATTATAGCATTAGAGAAAGCACTGATGCCACCTCAAATAAATACAGGCACATGAAAAAAAATTATCCCTCATAAATTGTTCATTTGACTAGAGTTACACTGCCTAGGTAAGCAGGTGCCAGTACCAAGGGCAACTACATATTTAATTTTTCTGCCTATATTAACAACGGAACAGCTTTACCAAAGAAACAGATTCCAAGATTAGCATGCTATGATTGAGTTCATCAGCATTCATAGTACCTAAAATGTCCTTGACAGCTTTAGGGACAGGAAATAAGGTTGTGCAGAGCAGTGCTAGGTGTCACAATAAGGCAGAGATCAGTCATCTCCCCTTCCATGTATATGATTCTTGTAAAGGAACACAGAAACAATGATCTGTTTTGAGTTTGTTTCATTTCTACAATAAAGAATTATATCCTCTGGAATTCATTCACTAGGTTTCTTTTGTAAGTTTTGTTCTTTATTAAACAGTTCTGTACTAAAGCAGCAGAATGAGCTAAATTAATCCATCATGTCATAGCTCTGAAAGTGAGAGTAGAAAGTAAGTATCTAAAGCCTTCCCCAAAAAAGCCAGTATCAAGTCTGTTTCCATGATAAAAGTGAGGTATTTAGGAGGCAAGTCTAACAAGGTAATGTATGGAAGAATTTTCACTTTTTCCACCTGATAGCTTTATTCATCACCTACCAGCCAAAACCTCCACCCTTTGCTCAGCCTAAGAACCCAACTCCTTCCTTCCAGTGTATTTAATACAAACATACAATGCATCTTTGTGAAGGAGACATAACACAAAACAGAAGACTGCCCCTCATGTATGAGAGTAACTCTTGACAGCCCTTCCTCCTAAACAGAAGGAAAAAAGAATGGAACTGCACACCCACTGCAGGCTCTTGGCAGGCCCAACACAGAACAAGCTTACCCCTTGACATCCCAAGTACAGGACTTTTATTTGTTGTTCTCTCCTCTTCAAGAGCTAGTGCAACTCAGGACATGAAGGGACCCAACATGGGTCAGTCCAAAGGGAATGTTTTATCTTAAGAACACCAACCCATCCAGGCTTGCAAAACACCAAGTGAGCAAGCCTGGCAAGACCCCTGCTAGTAACTGTTTACAGGTCTGCCCACTCCCTTGAATTGTAAGGACCTATCACAACAATGGAACTAGACTATGAGGAAGAAAGGATGTAAAGAATGCATTCCTAATGTAATGGAGTACAAGCTAAAGAATGCATTCTTAAAGCAAAGACTGATTTTAAACAGAAAGTGAAGAAGCAATGAAGTGCTAGCAGGGTTATCTCTCTGTTCCAAAGCATTACAAGATTTTTCCCCACTGCCAACAAACCAGTCCACTAATCCTCTGCAATTATGGTTGTTATAGCAGGTGAAGATTATGAACAGAGAGGTGGAAAAGCAGCCTTTGCAGAGCGATTCTCATCTCCCTCCAGACAGTTTGTAGCTTTAGCTCCAACCAGCAACCCGTGCAGTTGACCTGCCCCGCTGAACTTGGAGACATGCACTGCAGGACCCACACCCAAGAGGGCAAGTAGCCTGGGTGTCACTCAGCTCAGAAAAGAGCTCCTGGATGCAGTGATCCAACTGTTTCACAGTGAGCTTGGCCCAAGTCACTACTCAAACCCCAGATCTTTGGATATTGCTTTTTTTTCTAGAACAACTCGGGCAAATCAACATCAAGCATTAAGGTTATATTACAGATCCATAGAATAAAATCATAGAATTGCCTGGGTTCAAATAGACCTTAGGGATGACAATGATTTTCCAAGCCCCCTGCCATGGACAGAGACATCTGCCAATAGACCAGGCTGCTCCAAGCCCTACCCAGTCTGGCCTTGGACACTCTTAGGGATGGACCATTCACAACTTCTCTGGGCAACCTGTGCCAGGGCCTCATCATCCTCACAGCCAAGAATTTCTTCCTAATTCCTAATTCCTGTTTCCAGGCTCTTCCTGCCATGCAGCCCTCTCCTGCAAGGCAACCATCCAGGCTGTCCTGAGAGAAAGCCACTTCCCCAGCCCACAATTCCCACTTTCCCACCCCTTCTCCTTCTCCCACAGGAGAGCAACAGCCACTGGGTAAAGTCCAAGGTCTCTCACACACACTGGTCACTTGGCTGGTTACATAAACCCCACAATCCACCCTTTTTACATTGCTTTTGACTGAATACAGACAACAAACTCTGTGTAGACCCAGTAACGGATACAAAATCAGACCTACATTGTGAGGTACATGTCTGAAGTGAGGTGGGAACTCAGTTCTAGGTCTGAGCCGTGCACCACTTTGAAAAAATAACTCTTACCTCAAAACTGTTCTTATCTGTGCAATGACAGCAGGTGCTTGTCCCATCCTCACAAGCATGTGTCTATGTATGAAAATAACCTTACAAACTGCTTTAAATATATGAAATATATCCATATTTATTTAAATAAATATTATTATTTATTTAAATTTATTTTAATTAACTAAATTTATTTCACATTTGATTTCATATTTAAAATTAATTATTTATTTAAATTAAATATTAAATAAACTGAAGGTGCAGACAGGATATTATACAACTGGCATTACTGACGTTTCAATGGCACGTAAATAAAGTACCATGATATCACACCAGAATTTAAATAATTTTTAAGACAGCATAAGGCAATACTATTTTCAGGCAGTTTATAGCAATTTAATACCCAGCTTCCATTGAAAATATTAAGTCTGCATGCTTAATTGCTCCAGGGACCTTTGAGAATCCCAGCAAAAAGGATAATAAGCTGTAAATCAACCCTTTCAAAATTAAGCAACCCTCTTCCCTCCACTATCATTAGGTATTCCATAAAAATGTACTTTATTTGCACAAACACATATTACATCAAAATGGGTTAGAGACATAGCTAAGCAAGAATGATTAACAGCATTAATAATATTTTTCAGACATATTAAAAACTTTGATTAGATACTCTTAATATGAATGGGGAAGAAGATCATGCCTGTATTACCCATCCAGAGGATCTTAATACTAGAATTTGACAGACAAAGACACTTTTGGAAGTGTTTTTCTTGCTGAAACTTAGATAGTCTAATAAATCCTGGAGGAAAGCCGTATCTTTTATCACTCAAAAAAAACCCCAAAAAAACCAAGTTAATATTTAAAGCTTGCTGCTGTTTCCCCTTTATTCCCACTGTGGAAACAAAACTGGTTTTCTATATAGGAATTATAAGATAAAGGGTTTCAAGTGATTTGATAAAGGCAGACCTGCATTTTTGAAGTGACATGAAAAAGGGAGAAAAATCATTAGACTAATTCAAAGATTTAAAGTTAAGTCTATACAACAATTCACATCCATTTCCCTTCAAAGTGAAACTGAAACTCAACTTGAGACTTTTCAAAGAAAGTGCAAAAGTGAAAACTATAAAGGAATTAGGCACTGGCTTGCATTCTACAGGGCTGAAACAAAAGGTAGGCAGGCAATTACATTGTTATCAAAAAGTCAGCAGAAATGTGATAGTAATTCATACTCACTAAAAAAAAAAGCTTCCTTTACACAATCAATTTTACAATTTACAAATCAATTTCTAGACCAACAGTATATTTCCTTCTTTATAGCCAGACATCTGTTTACACATCAGAACTCTGTCAGAAAAATGTGTAAGCTCACCTTCTCTTGGTTTTCCTTATTCTTGTAACACAGATTTCCAATCAAACGAATGAGATGAGATTTGAAACCCACAGCTGGATGTGAAATTTCTTCCTGCCCTGTCACAGCATGGGTGGCAGTGAAAATATTTACAGCCTGTTTCCCAGCAAGGTGAGTTAATCTCAGGGTATCTAGAGAAAACATTTTAGTACATTACCAAGAGAAAATTAGTCTCACATGGCACAGAGCTTTATTATCAATTGTTGAGTTCAACGCTAAGTAACATAATTTCTGATATTCAACATCATGTCAAAGAACTATGAAATTTTACCTCATTGTGTGATTTAGGCTAATATAATCAACCATAAAAGACTAGCCCAATGTCGGAAGGCATTTTTGCATACTTTTTAAACCCTTAGATAGTTCTCACATGAAGGCTGAAGGCTGCTGCCATCCATCTCCACCTGAAGATTCAGAATTTGTAGGCTGTTGAGAATTCTGGGACCATAAATATATTGCTAAAACCAAGATTTTTAGAAAACTTCCTGTAGCTTGAATATGTCACAGCAATACATACTAACCCCAGAATCCCTTTTTCATCTCTTCTTCGGCCTGTTCCTGGCACTGTAGCATGGCGAGAAATTTCAAGTACACAAAATTACAGAACAGTTTGGGTTAGAAAGGACTTTAAATATCACCTTATCTCATCTGCCATGGGCAGGGACACCTTCCACTATCCCAGGTTCCTCCAAGCCCCATCCAACCTGGCCTTGGGCATTTCCAGGGATGGGGCAGCCACAGCTTCTCTGGGCAACCTGTGCCAGGGCCTCACCTCCGTCACAATCTAACCCTACTCTCTAGCAGTTTGAAGCCATTCCCCTTCCTCTGTCACAACAGGTCAATAGCATCCCTCCATCTTTCCCACAGGTTCCCTTCAGGTACTGGAAGGCCACAATTGTCTCCCTGAAGCTTCTCTTCTCCAGGCTCAACAATCCTAATTGTCTCAGCCTCTCCTCACAGCAGTGCTGTGCTCCATCCCTCTGATCAACTGTAAGTTTCCTTAACATACACATCCACAAAATAAATCCTGTTGTTAGTCATCTTATTGTAAGCCATAATTCTACAAAGCTGCCACCAAAAATAGAGGTTTGGTTGCTTTTTATGTTTTTCTTTTGTTGTTGCTGGAGATCTTTTCTTTATTTGGATTTTTCTTTGCTTGTTTAGTCTTTTTTACAATAAGAACCCTTCAAACATTTCAAAAGGAGTCATTGCTAGCAACTGTTTCAGTTTTTTTATTTTTTAATTTTTACCTATTTGTCTTAAAAATACACAAAGTTTTACAATATTCTCACAAAATGATAGCATACCTCAATCTCAGAATGCTAAGATGTAAAAAAGCACAGGTCATGGTATGTATCACCCCTCCCTTGAGCATCTTTGGAACACCTTGGCATAATTTTCTTTGTGTACAAAGAAAATTTTCTTCCCTTGCTGATTCTTAGCTTCTTTAAAGTTGACCTTTAAAAGTCACAGGATTTAATTAATAAAATTCAAATTGCACTTAAATTTTAGAAATTTGGGAAACAAAAGAGAACAGGCATGGAGGACAAGCCCTTTTCCTACTTCTTCATGGAACTCTTCCACGCATTCAGCCAGTGGAAGAGCATAGGAAGCAGCTGTCCATTGCATCCCTTTCTGTAGGAAAAGAGCATTGCTGATACTTGAATCAAGGCTCTGTTGGGCAACACAGACCAGCAGAGAAAGCAGAGAAGCAGAAAATTTCCAGGATCAAATATCTGAAAATGCAGATTAACTACTTCTCCTATTTATTTACCTTATTCAGAGGCCAGAATTGGAATTACCACCAGTTGTGAAAGACATGTTTTCATTCACAGAGCACCAACAGTTAAGCCTTGTGGATATTGACTCACCTACAGCTGTTTCAAGCAAACCAGGGAATGCCTGCAGATGTTCCAGCTGGCTGTTGTTTGAGGTCATTTCACAAAGAACGTCGAGAAGACGAATTGTCACCAGTGCTTCCTGGAATGAAAACTGCATTTCTGAAAATGGCCTATAAAGGCTATCGTAAAAACATAAACCCAGAAATGTAAACAGGGGAAAGGAACTCTCAGCATCTCAGGTTCTGTGCAGGTCTTCCAAACTGCCAAGAATAAATTTATATAAAATTAGGGCAACTTTCTAAAATAACAATAACATATTAGATTGCAATAATTTCTTTTCTACAGTTAGTGTTATATCTGCCTGAAAAATCATGGGGAAACCAAAACAGAGCCATAAGGGATAAAATTTTAACAAAAACAGAGTCACTTCCAAAAGCAAAAATACAGAAAATTACTAGCTGAGAAATTATTTCTGTATAAATGTTTTCTTTGAATTTATTCAGTCAGAGCGTTCCACTTTAAAGACACAAACACCGCCTGCAAGACACCAATTTGTTATCCACAGGAATTCTGTAAAGTTCTGTGGTCAAAAGAACTTTGGCTGTGAGAATTTACATTATTATTGTGTAAATAGGATTGCAGTCAGAGATACAGCATTTTGGTTAGGTATGAGACACAATTCCATTTGCATATTATTTATTCAGCCAGAGAACTATTTTTTCTCACCAAATATGTTGTTCCTGCTTATGATGATAATCCAGCACTTACAAAATTGCCTTAAGAGCACATGACAGAATTTGGAACACCACATATTGTTCAAGAGCCAGGCTGTGTCTGCAAGATGATCCCACTCCAGGTGTGTAATATAAACTGCAAGTAGCCATGAAAAGGCTCAGACATTGGTCACAGTTAACTATTCCTGCCTTTTCTGGTCCAGGAAAACAAAAAGGGTTACTTAACAGTATAATATTTTGGATTCACATAATCAACACAATGTTATTCAAATCATCAATAATAGTACTCAGTAATTAAGTAGTACAATTATATTCATTCACTGCTCCTTGAAAACACCAAATTGCTATAGGGTCTACGTACTAAATCAGTAATTTCATTTTTTGACCCATATAGATGCAGGAAAGTGCAAGTCTTGCCCTAAATTACTCAATAAACTGCTTTATCAGCACAGAGGCAGACTCTAAACACATCTAAACATTAAACACTCCAAACATTATCCTCTTGCAAATTAATAATACCACAGTTGTATTTCAGAGACAGTAACCAGCTTTTTACAATTTTTAGGAGGAACAGATTATTTAAAAACCATAGAAGAACTCCCAAATTTTCATGTATATTTGTAACTTGCTAAGTTCAAAAAATTGTTCCTTCCCTGCTGCTGACTTGACTTTGAATTTAGAAAAAATTTTGGAAATATCCACATTTTTCAAAACCCAAAAAAAAAGGGGTTTTTTTGCCCTCCACCTGTATAAAAGAAAGGCAGTAAAGGAAAATACTTCCTTCTGAAGTTCAAAATCCAAAACAGTTTGAAGTCTGACAGACATTCCTATATGGATGCAATCTGAAAAGTAAATAAGGAAGTAATTCATGACTTTTTAAATAAGCATATTTAGAGCAAGATACAGAAAAGATGTTCCTTATAAAGAGATGAACTAAGTCCAGGGAAGGTTTTTATTTTGCAAATATGGTTTAAAGTTAGTACAGGCAATCTGATGCTCAATTCAGGCTTCAAATGGAAAAGTTGTTTTAAACATTGGCTTAAGCATTGCAAAAGCATATGATTAGCTGCTCATGGGTTTAAGATGCAAGCTACAAGACCTGATTTTCCTTAAGAAAACAAGTGTCTACATATAACAAATTAAACAGTGGATGGGGACACCCAGACAACATTCTGGGAGTCAGGCCAGTCCAAGGACTGTTCCCTAAAGTTTTCCAGTGGGGCCTCAGAGCTCTGGAGTCTAAGGCAGCTTACTACTACAGACATGGCCTGAGCAAGGTACTCGGTTTGTGGGCCACAGAAAAGGCTAGGCAAAGCCAAGTTGAGTATCACAGATGTTGCCTAAAGCATTTTTAATGACAGACTCTAAATGCACAACTAATTTTTTTTTCAATTAAATACAACTGCTACACAAAACCTGAAAATAGTTATAATAATGAGGAGAAATTGATGCAATTCTTTATAATTTCTTGTAAGAAAAGAAACAGTTTTATGAAGTTAGACTGGAATTTCTCTTTTCCCACAGTAAGCATACATTGTGAACAAATGTATACACAGATATGTATGCACACATATTGTTCTCAACTTATTCACCTATCAAGACTTATATTTTCTGTTCATTCAGTGAGCCCCATTTTCCCACCAAACAGTGACACTCAACTTATCATACATCTTGTTTATGTGAGAGAAGAATAAGAAGTCAGTGTCAATCGGGGCAAGTTGGACAGAGACCTTGTTCTGGTGGATGCAAACAAATAGTTTGTTTCCATGAACTGAAACCACAGAAAGCGGCTGGAAAGTAACCAAAAAGGATAAAAAACAAAAAAATAAAGAAGGCAGGGGGGGAAAAAAAAAGCAAAGATGGAATTGTCTCAATGTACAGCCTCTCACTGCCAAGTTAATACCTTTTCCAGAAGTAGTCACTTAAGTTATCTGACATAAGTTAGACCAACAATTGGGGCAGTGGGGAGTGTTTCTTGGACAGACAAGAAGAGATTGTGCGCTTGTTGGTTTGTGTTTTGGTTTTTAAACACATCTCCACCACCTCCCATAATGTGATTTATGGTATTTTTTCACAACATGTCTCAACCTACTTTTAAAATTCTTGTGTCTATTTAAACGAAAAATGCCAAGCAAGTACAACACTTTTCAACATTTTCATATAAAAGCATTTAAGATAAATGTTTTTTTACTTTGATAATAAATTATGATACTTCTTCTCTAGAGTTTTTGGAAGTGAAACTATTGCACATTAATTTTTATATGAACAATAAAATACTCTGACTACATGTATATTACTGCTTCCCATCTATGAACAGAATAAATATTTTTATTTTGGTTCATATTTGAATCACAGGATCATCACAGAATCACAAAATATTCTGAGCTGAAAGGCTGCCATGAGGATAAAGTCCAACTCTCAGGTAAAAGGCCCATATGGGGATCAAACCCACAACCTTGGTGGTACCAGCACTATGCTCTGACCTCATCTCAGGTCATGGTCTGAGTTGGAAGGGACCTTAAGGCCCATCCTGTCCCACCCCCTGCCTTGGGCAGGGATACCTTCCACTAGATCAGGTTGCTCCAAGCCCTGTCCAATCTTGCCTTGGACACTTCCAGGGACAGGGCAGCCACAGCTTCTCTGGGCAACCTGTTCAAGGGCCTCACCAACCTCACAGGGAAGAATTTCTTCCTAGCATCTAATCTATCTTTACTCTCTGTCAGTGTGAAGACATTCCCCCTTGTCCTGTCACTACAAGCCCTTCTAAATTTGAATTAATAACAATTCCCAACTCAAATAAATTATAGAAGTGATCCTTAGTAAGATAATAAAATACCCAAATATGTAACAACTTGAACATTTCTCAGATTTTGAAACATTTAACAATGGGGTAGACTTATTCCAAAGTACCATATCCTTTGCCATCCTCAAATTAAAAGCAAAAGTTGGCTGCTGTCCTACGGGCTCAACTGTGCACTTTGCCACTGCTTTCCCAACATAAACTGGAAATGGTACTGTTATGTATGCCCCCTTGTGCAACAGTGGCAATGAGGAATCATCATGTCTATGTTCTAAATTCCAGTACTTAAACGGTTATCAGTCATACCTCATCTTCTGCATCTGCTGCAGCGGTTAACTTGAGCACAGCTCCACATTTCTCTTGGAAGCAGACTGCAAGGAAGTCAGCATGTCTCACAAACACATTCATTTCTTCACTGGTAACTGAGTCCTTGTCACTTAATTTCACCATCATTAGCTCTAAAAAAGTAACTCTGGAGACAGGAAAAAAAATTTGTTAGTCAGATTCACGGAGCCATACAGAATTATCAGTAGAGCAAGCAGTAGTTAAAAAAGATAAAAACAATTATCATGCTTGTAACAGAGAGAAGTTTTGAAAATCAACAAGCCTCATGAATACTGGCAATCAGTTTCTGTCTCCTGGGCTTTTTTTTCTGTACAGAATTAATTTAATTCATCATTTAATTAATACAATCTGGCCAGACTGTCAATATTTTTCTCAAGTCTATTTCAATTTATAATTTCTTATATCCCCAAAAAAAAATCACTGAGAGTGCATTTTCCCTGTATCTGAAATTTCCAGCAAACCAGCTGGAAAATAAGCAAAATAAGCAAAATAAGCACAGACTATTTGACAGCTTCTGTTTGAAAAATACAGGTTTTCACAGCCCTTGCCTTGCCCACAATCCTTCACTAACTCTTCCCCACACCCCCAAAACAATTCTGAGCCCAAACAGGGAAAATAAAAATTGATATGCACACTCTGTTCTTTACAGTCATTTCATAACTGTTACTAGATGGACTATGTAAATCTAAGTTAATCACTTATGTACCCAGTCAGAGATATTCAATGTATTAAGCTGGCAAGTAATAACTAGATACATAATGAAGTCCTATGAAATCTACTTGGGCTGTGTTTTTTAACAGCTTTAATGTAATTTTATTTCCAACGCAGTTTCATGTTGTCAGGGCAAATTGGAAGCATTTTGTGGAAGGAGGACTTGGACGTGGCAGAGGCTCTCCTATAGGTCCCTACTCCAGTCCAGCACACAGAGACTGGTGAAGTCTCACTCTCATTCTCTCAAACTGAAAGAACACTGTTAATTGAATGAATTCAAAAGCCAGCTCAGGCTTTTCTTTCAGTGAAATCTTTGAAATTCAGATGGAAGGACTGACATTTAAACATGTGGAATAGTTCAAATGCTTTTTCTTTTAAATTTACCACGCAGGTTGTCAGAAGAGAAAGAGAAACATCTTTTTCTGTGGATAAAGCTTGGTCACTGCTTTATTAACATCCAAGAAATCACCTCTATTAATCACAAAACAGCTGCTTAGTCCTTGCTAAACTCAGTTCTCAATGTCATAAATACAGCTGCATTAAACTATTATCTGAAGGAGGACAAATTTTTTTTCAACATGGCAGCACTTCTGTGCTGCTGGCACATTTGGCAAAGGGCAGACTCCAAAGAGGAGGCTGGAGCAGCCTCTCTCAGGGGCTCTGCTCATGGTCTGTTTGTTCTGCAGGTTACAGCTGGTGCACCCTGCCCATCTCCAAATGACCAGAGTCCAGCTCCCCGACACCCTGCACTGACCAATGGCTTTCCCATTTGGCATCCCATATAAAACCCAAGCCCACAGATCTGTCATTTGCCCCCAATACAGGGCAAGACTTGGTACATCAGTTTTCACCAAATTTAGAGTCTTTCAAGCATGTGCTTTCAACACAGGCTGGTCACTGACTTGATGAACAAAGGAATTATTCCAATACTGCAGTGTACTGGAATACAACCAGTGGGTTGACCCTGGCCAGATGCCAGGCACCTATCGAAGCCACTATATCACTCCCCTCCCTGCTTTAGCTGGACAGGGGAGAGAAAACTTCACTAACGGCTCGTGGGTTTAGATAAGGGCCACAAGAGATCATTCATCAAATACTGTCATGGCAAAACAAGCTTGAAATTAGAGATACAACTTAAATTCATTACTAACAAAATCAGAGCACGCTAATGAGAAATAAAATAAAACCTTAAAAACACCTTTCCCCCACCCCCCTCTCATCCCCAGCTCTCTCTCCTACCCCAGTGGTGCAAGGAGACAGGGAATGGGGGTTATGGTCAGTTCATCACCCACCATTTCTCCCTCTGCTCACGAAAAGGAGTCACTCCCCTGCTGCACCGTGGGGCCCTTCCCACGGGATAGAGTTCTTCATGAACTTCTCCAGTGCGAGTCCATCCCACAGGCAACAGATCCCTGCAAACTGCTGCAATGTGAGTCCATCCCATAGGCAACACTCCCCATCAAACTGCTGCAGCATGGGTCACCCTACCATGGGTACAGTCTTTCAGGGACAGGCTGCTCCAGCACAGGCCCCTCTCTCCACAGGCTCCCACGGGGTCACAGCCTCCTCTCAGGCATCCCCCTGCTCTGGCATGGGTCTGGGTCTCCTCCATGGGCTGCAGGTGGATCTCTGCATGCCCATGGATCTCCATGGGCTTCAGGGGCACAGCATGGTCTGTGCCTTGGGCTGCAGAGGGATCCCAGCTCCAGTGCCTGGAACACCTCCTCCCCTCCTTCTTCACTTGGTGTCTGCAGAGTTGTTCCTCTCACATATTCTTACTCTGCTCTTCCCCAACTGCTATTACAGCTGTGCAAAAACTTCTTTTTCCTTTTTTCTGAAACACGTTATCACAGAGACATTTACCACCATTTCTAATTGTCCCAGCCTTGACCAGTGACATGTCTGTCTTTGGAGCTGCCAGGTCTTTGGAGCTGCCAGGGACTGGCTCTGCCAGACACGGAGAGAGCCTCCAGCAGCTTCTCACAGGAGCCACCCCTGTAATCCCCCTGCTACCAAAACAAGGCCATGCAAACATAAAACAAATACTATCTTCTGCTTGACAGGATTCAGTGCTTCTTGCACCAATAATCCAAATAATAAATGTTTAAAACTGACAAGCAATCCTTTCGTAAACAAGCTGAAAAGTCACCACACTTCTATAAACCCCATTAAATAGATTAAATGGTTGCTAATAGGGAATTTTTTTTGTACTACTCTTCCCCTTGCAATATGAATGGATGCCTTTTTCAACAACTTCAGTCCTTCGTTAAAACACCACCTGAATGTCATTTCTTTGGAAGTTTTCTCGTCTCTTTAGGCATTCAAGTCAAACTGTTCTGCTGAGTCTTCTTCCAGGCACAGTCATTCAGGACATGCCCATCTTTCTCTGAATTTCAAGCAAGTCTTGCTATTTAACCAGTAATTTCTTGAGAGTGATGTGCTTTGTTCTGGTGCAAGTTCCCTCACATTCCTTTTTTCTATCATTTCTCTCAGTTTTCTTTTAAGACTCACCCTAATTTTTCCAAATTAGTTCTCCCAGACAATGCAATTTGCCCATTTCTTTTAAATAATCTCACAACTGTTGAGCCATTCAAATGACAGTGTTTCTTCCTATTTGTTTGCCTGCAGCTAAATACAACAAATATGACAACTGCTAGTACCAGTTGAAATTTTGTAACACTCAGTTCAATATCTCAAATCTAATTCTGTGTATTATATTTACAATTATACCTCTGTTTGGAAATAATCATGCCATGTCATCTTCCTTTTCTTTAGGCACTACTGAGGAATACCTTTTGTGAATCTCTGGCAGTTTTTTTCCCCCCTAGACAAATAGAAACCAGTTCTTCCTGAAGCCTACTAAATTGGCATAAACTTAGAACAGCCACTATAAGGTATTTGCAGTCATCAGTAAAACAAACTTTTGTCTCCTATAGCCTGCAAACAAACCACAGAACTAAAGTGCAATTTAAATCTGGAAGCACATTACTACACAATAAAATGCTGCCTCACTAAGCCTAAAACTAGTAGTGTAAAATTCTATTGATTTTCTTAGCATCAAACAATATTTGCATCAAATGTGGTTTTTTATAACCTCTTAACAAGCGCTATACACTTGGGATATTCTCCTTCTGTGACTGGTTTCTTTTTCCTGAAACACTTCCCTGACAGTAATGGTTCCATGAGATAAATTAGGCCCTTCCTCACAACTTTGACTTCTTTCATCTTCAAATGATACTTGTGAGCATATTAAATGAAATCTGGCAAATTTGTGAGCAGCTGTAGTTCGGTGCTACCTTTGGCTACCCTATGTCTGTGAGCATTGCCAGGAACAAAACCATCCCAAGCACTGACAATGCTAGCCCTGTAGCTGAGCATTAGCAAGAAGTGGTGCTGCTTACACGACTTGAGTGCCCATTTCCTGGCAGGAAATTCCATCAGTGGCTGCACCCTTCACTCGGGACACTTCACCTGACAACACTAAAATCAAACCTAGAGATGCAAATACTTGAGCATCTTAAAAACACCTGAAGCTATTCAGCTGCACTTTTTCATGCTGTTAAAAAGCCCTTCTTAGAAGGGACAACAACAGATGTGCTCATTTTTTAAGATTTTATAATGTAATTAAGACAAGCAAGACATGAACTTACAGTGTCCATGCTCAAGGTTAACTTGGATGAATGCAAACCAGGCTTTTTCTAAATACTTCTGCCAAATACCTGCACACAGGTGCAGGAAAATCTCAAATCTGGCAAAAAAATTAAGAATCTATATTCCTTTAGCTCAATGGCTGTATCCTTCTACAATAATCCCTTCCAGAGAACCAGCATTGTCACAACATGCATTTCTCCAGGTCAGACTAACACTGAAAACCTGATCACATTAACACAGGATTCATTTCAGGTCATTTGCACACTCAGACATGCAACACATTAAATTTGTTAGGAGAATGAAAGTTGTCCAGAAGTCAGGAATTTTATTTTAATTAAAAATTCAAATTCCTGATCTACTTGTATAAGAACTGCTTTGAGGCAGGCCCTATGGCCACTGGGACACAAATGCACTGGATTTCAACTGCAGGAAATACTTTGAATAGTGCAAATACTGTGAATAGTGCAAATAACTGAGGTTACATAGCCACATACACTCTGGGCATCACAGGCAACTGCCAGCTTTGGGAGTCACCACTAATGGGCATACTCAAACTTCCTTGGCACAGCTAATTTCATTTGAGCAAACACATTTAAACTACCTGTATTTAATGTGCATGACAGAGGGCACTGTAACTGAGGGCTACCATATATTCATGAGCTCCAACTGCCTTCCCCAGACACCTCAATGGACATCTCTCCATTCTACATTTATAGCACTTGGTCAGTTTCACTGGACACCCAACATGAGAATGCTTGTGGTGAAGACTCCTCATCTCTTTTTGAAACAATGAATTCCCTATGGTTTGGGGTTTATGGCTACTTTTTTCTCCAGTTCATGACAGTCAAAATGTTTGTATCTGAATTGGATTTGTCTTTTCATGTCTCTCAAAAGAATGCATTCTTAAATACACTAACACTACCTAGGAAGATGCCAGGGAGGATATTCATCTACAGCTTGGATGCAAAAAGATTATTTCTACAGCACTTCCATATGTTTGTCAGTAAACAAAGCACTGCCCAATTCATAAATGTACTGTGATTATGTCTTTGAAAAACTTAATGGAGTTGACCAGCAGAACTCTTGGGATTAATAATAAATTCAGCAGATATGCTCTAAATAGTGATCTCACCTGTGATCATCTATGTCATGTCTACACAAAAAGCCTTTGAGGTGAGGGATCTGATGATCGTCTGTAGTATGCTGAGACCTTTCGAGAAACTGGTTACACTTACTGCTTTTAGTACAACTGAACATCATAAACAGCTCTGGCTATCCTCAAAGGCATTACAGAGATGTGCAAACTACCATTCATGACACTCCCCGGAAGAAAATTCAATCTAGTTCATTTACTTAAAACAGTTACACGGCACCTACCTCCTGGTGTATTAAACACACAGCTCAGATTTGTTCCCACTTGGTTATCCTGAATTATGGAGGAAAACAGTATCTCCCTCCTTACCATTCCCACCCTATACCATCCTCATACAAGAATGTATTTTATTTATGGTTCAAACCTATTGCATATTCTTTCTTTGTCTGATAACCTTTCAGTAACCTCCAATGAACCCTCACCTGTGGTAACACTAGAAACAAAACAGGAAAAAACGCAATGGCACTGTTTTATTTAGTGCTTTTTCACCTGCAAAAACTAGAGAGGAACTTCTGCAGCTTCCCTGGGTGGATGTAGAACAATATAGGCACATTAAACACATAAATGAGACCACAAAATCTTCAAACAGTTGGAGGAGCTGTAGAATTCTAGCAGTGTTTCCCAAATTTGATTGTCTTAACAAAATATTTTTTTAATCTTCCTTAATTCTCTATTAAAGCAATGAACATTTTCCTGTTATAACAGTGGCCATTTCCCATCAATTCAGCACATACTTACTCGAATAGCTATCAATGCTTCTTCAAGGTGAAGATTTGTTGAAGCTTTTCAACAGTAGAAATATTAAAGATTAAGTAATCACAGGCATCTGCTCATCTATGTTTTTTGTAGGTTCTGCTAACCTGTATGAGACACACTTCCATCTTTCTTAAAGGCTTCCTCTTAATTTCTTGACATATCAACAGAAGTATGATGAGCTAAGGACATTTCTAATCGAGCTGTAAAACTCTGCAGGGTGTGGCACTCTTATGAAATCAAGACCCAGGCATGAAATCCTTTCCTTTTTTGTGTGTGAAGTATTTCTTTACCGAGTAATGGCGCCAACCTGAATTCTGCAACCCTACATAAATCACTGCCAGTTGTGGCTAAGCTGTAATGTTAACCAACCAATTTAAAACCATTACTGACATAGAAACATGTATTTAGAGATTTTGTGCCAACTATGAAACCACACAGTTTTTCAATCATGTGAACAGGATACTCTATATGGAATGCTAAATAATAAAAGCCACATTGGTTTTGGGGTTACCTTTCTTGATTGCTCAGTTTGGCATAGAGGGCTTTTACCAGCTCTGGACATTTCAGCAAATGTTCTGTAACAATCAGGAACCTAAAGGAAAAGAAAAAGAAAGTCTTACTAGTGCATTGCTGATTAGTTTTACTTGTAGATGAACAAGTGTGTTGTGCTTTTGGTCCTACTCACTAATAGATACAAGTTGGCACAAAGTAATTGCACTGTCCTGCAGTTTTTTTCCCTAACATTGCAATGACCATATCTCATCAGTTCAGCACACTTTTACTCACTTGTTTGAAGGAAAAATGGCTGGAGTCTTAGACCAGTTATACACATCACAATTCAAACAATGAAACACTCATCCAATGGTTTATGCATCTAAGCAAAAAGCCAAAGTTCAAATTTGAAAATTATTATTCTATTGATCACAATACTGTCTTTAAGCCCAAACAGTCAAAAAAGTGCCCAAATTATATAATTATTTTTCTTTAAAAAGGGCAATCTGACAAAGCACCAAAGCAAATGAGAACTTCTTTGTCAGATGCAAGGCAGCAAGGTACTTTTCTCAACTTCAAAAGCATACCCTCCTTGTATAATAGAAACCTAAGCTGATAACCAATTTTAAGTCCTTGCTTTACAAGGCACATAAATATAAGCACATAGAGTCTCATATTCTGGAAGGGACACACAAAGATCATTGAGTTCAACTCCTGTCCCTGCCCAAGACATCCCCAACTTTAACACAAGGATCTTGCCAGTCAAAATACAGTGAAGTATATTCTGCAGTAAATTATCAAGCTTTTCTCTTCCTTTCACCGCCTTCCCTTTCTCACACTATATTCGGGATTTCTGAAATACAAGAAGACCAACAGAAGTTGACAAACCGACCACTGGTTCCCTCTTCACCAAAATGTTGCAATGACACTAACCTTCCAGGAAAAAGAGTGTCTTTAAAAAAACAATCTATCCAAAACTGGCAACGGCTCATTCTTTCTTCTTAATTCTTTCTCTAGAAAATATGGTCAGCCTTGTCCTTGTGCTAATGCCAATATTTACACCGTTTGCTTTCCTAAGCACCATCCACAGCAGTCCACAGCAGGTAACAGTCATTTAATTTCAACCCACACTCATACTCCCAGCACTATGGGAAAAAAACAAAGTGGGTAAAAGTATTTACCTCCTCATATCACATCCCCAGGAGCACTACCAGTGGTATTTATGCTGCATAGGTACACACAAACTCAACGATGCATTTTTAAAGTAGCATGTCTAGGCTACAATAACTGCAAGTTGAGTCTCAGAGTATCTTCTGAGCTGATGAAGCTACAGAAAAAGAACAGCTAAAATAATATTAAAACCAAACAATTTCAATTTTCCCTCCACCTCCTCCCTAGTTTTCCCTTTGCTGACAGCCTTTATTTTGCATAGCCATAGCCTATTACATAGCTAATAAGAAGATCATAACGAAGCCTTCCAGCTGCAATAAAGTATTTTTTGGACAAGTACTCAATGCCAATTGGGCTAATAGAAGAATAAGAGTTCCAAAAGATTAATAGCTATTATATTTCTAATTGTAACTTGGACTTATCCAGCATCTGGTCCAGTTACTGAAAACTCAACATTTCTAAGAGGGCAAGGAAGAAAAACTATTTTCTACTGCATTTCTTTTTTACTGATATTTGCACATTCATTCATGAAAAAAATATGCAGAGGTCTAAGGAATCATCAGCTTAAAACCAGCCTGCTGAGGAGTGTAACGCTGATCAAAGAGTTTTTCAATACAAATTTCAAAAAACACGAAGACTCACTCTAAGTCAGCAGCACAAATGTATCCAACTGAGCTGTGCAGACTCAGCTGTAACACCCAAGTCGAGCCATCAGCAGGGCAGTTCAAGGGAAACTCTTCCACAGTTACTGAACTAACTCTCAGCTATCCATAGTTAAACCTTCAGTATTGTCACAACTAACTTCATTTTCCATGGACTTAAGTAGAACCACAAACTTTTGTGTGGAGCTGGAGAAGAAAATAGCACAGATCAGTGCTGTGCAGAACTTGGCCTAAGAACGTACAAATTTCAGCTGATAATGTAGTAGAGTATAAAGTATATAAACAGAGATAAGAAAAAAGACGTGAAAAACCTTGAAGCCCAATTTTTCTACTTTGAAACTGAGGCTATTTAATTTAAAGCTTAATTTTCATGTTTAAGACTGTGTTGAGGAAACTACTCTCTTGATTATTTGTCTTGTAATTAAAAAGTGATCAATAATTATCACAGAAAAAGATCTACTGCTACTAGGTTCATGTTCCTGATCACTACTGCAAAGTGGAAGGACCATAGTTCAACTATTACTTGGGTCTGTGCTCCTATATTCTCTCACACACATATTGTACATTCTGTGGACTAGACCTCTACTGCTTGAGGAGCTTGGAGTATTTTAGACTAAAATTTCTTATTCTTACCTTCTGGTTTCATGATGTGATGCAACACCTCAGAAAACAAAAAGCTCTGGCTGTCCCATCACTGGAAGCATCAAAAGCCAGGATGGACAGGGATTGGAGCAACCTGGGATAGTGGAAGGTGTCTCTGGGGAAAGGGTGGAAGGAGATGGGCTTTAAGATCCATTCCAACCCAAACCAGTCTGTGATTCTATAAAGTATCTGCTTCTGTATTTAAGTGTCCCTTTTACCTTATCCACTTTCTGCGTTACTGCACCATTGTGCTGGTCTTGCATTAACTGACATTTGGTGAGAACAGAAGAAGCTACTCATGGAAATGATTTTTCTTACAGAAGCTGCTAAGAGCTTCCTCTGTGCTTAGCAAAAACCAATAGCTGGCTAGCTCTGAAAATTGACATCCTATTAAACCATTTAGAAGGTAAGTCTGCCTCTGGGAGATGCACATCTTAAAGATGCCAAGCCCAGGAAGCCTCTGGGAGATGCACATCTTAAAGATGCCAAGCCCAGGAAGCTCTCTCTTGCTTCCAGCCTTGAAGAGGTAATGGGGTGCCAGTTGGACTGGCCCTGCTCCGCTGTGGCCTGCATGGCCTGGAAGGGCTGGGCTGGACCCCAGCGGCTCCCAGGTGGGGGATGTGAGGCTGTGGGTCCTGGATGAGGCTGGGCCACGACTGCCAACATCTTCCCGACACTAAGCCCTGCCCCACTGACGGCCTGCACCAGGCTGGGGTACACTGGGCCCCGGGAGTGGCTACAGGCAGGGCCAGGCCCCCTCTGCCATGGCCCGGCGGGGGCGAGAGACCAGCCATGCAGCCAGAGCGGCCACCACCGTTCTGGCCAGGCCCCCTGAGATCTTGGCACAGCCCCAGCACAGCCTGAAATCCATCACCGTGACTGCTTCAGCCACTGCCCAGCAGAAACCATCATGACCATCCGCAGGCCTGGGTGAGGTGTTAACTCTTTCAGTGCACAGATGAGACCTGCAGACCTTGATCCTCTCTCGAGTGAGAGAAAAGGACAGAGTGAAGACATGTAGAGGATAACATGAAGACACCAAGGTCAGTAAAGAAGGAGTCAAGTCCCAGATAGAAGTAGAATGAGGAGGTGCCTTAGTATTGGGCTGGAAGTTCTTTTGGTAAGGCCATGGAGATGGACTGTGATACACAAGAATATTCCCTTCAATTCATGAAAGAGTATGGGGGGATGGAGTGTTCAAACTGTAGATGTGAGCAGAGGCATCCATAATAAAGCAAAGCAGATGTTGAAGTAGCTGTGGTCCCATGAGAAGCTTGAACAGAGACAGAGATGAGGGTGATGAAGACCCTTTTGCCCTCAGGGAAAGAAGAAGACCTCTGTTCCTAGAGATGAAGATGATCTCAGAGATAGATGGAAAGAACCTTTGCTTTTTTAGCAGCTCATCCTTAAAATAATACCCCATAAGTTGACATGGCCCATGAACTCAGCTGTGGGAAGGCTGTGAAAGACGGGAGAAACTTCAGGATTGCAGATTTTCCAGGCAGCAGCTATTTATGGAAATTAAAAAGCCACAAGAGAACTGTTTCTTGTGGAGAAGTCTCCATGGCATGGCCAGAGAAATTCCTCTCCCTACAAGAACTGATGAAAGACTATTGTAGATGTGATAACTGATTGAAAATCCCAGGTTTTGTCCCTACATTGTCAGTTGGGAAAGAAAAGAAGCTGTGGAGAGGGGAGAAGTGTTCTGAAGGTTTTATTCTGATTCTTACTATTTTTTTAGTTTTGTTCATAAAGTTTTCTTTATGCCTTCTAAGTTTTGAGCCTGCTTTGCCCTCCCTCTTAATTCATATCTCACAGCAGGAAATGAGTAAATAATTCTAGTAGGTGCACTGGCGATTTTAGCCAGCGCTAAACCCGTTACAATAATGAAGAACAGAGCACGAGTATCATCACCAAGAGAAAACAGAAGAATTAATAGTGGAGTAAAGCACTTCCAACTCCTCCACCATGCCCAGAAATTCTGGAGGTAGCTAAGCAAGGATGCAGCACATTCAGTATACTATCTTTAGTCCTGTCAGCTTTCCTGTTTTTCATTTGTGGCATGGGAAAAGAAGAGGAAAAGTAAGATAATCCACAATTCTGAAATATAGGATATTCAGTTTTGGGTTACTGACTGAACATGGCATTTCAAATGCACACAAAAGGCTTTGGTAGGAGACTTAAACTCTCTTTGGGGGCCCACAGTAGAACCACTGGAATAAACTGAAGACCACTGTAATTTAGTGAAGGAAATGGTGAAAATTAAAGCTGTTATGCAAGCGTAACACAGTAACAAATGAACAGTGTTAAATATGCCAATTTTCTCAACTCTTTAAAAATTGTTTGGCTAAAATCCTAAAAAAATCAAATGCTTCTATAGTAGATAAATGCAGGAGGAGATGTTCAAAGACTTTATAACAGCACAAGGGCTGTATTGTACCAAACTGAAGCTCAGAAGCAGCCAAGACAAAGTGGTACAAGCTACATTTGCACTCAGTATATTCCAGATGGCCACTAAGCTTGCTCCAATCAAAGCTGGGTGTAAGCAATCAACTTTACCATCAAATGTCATGCTCCGTATTAAGTTGATTTTATCCCATTAGCAAATTTAGGGAACAGTTTCCTC